TATTTATAAAAGATTATGTTTTACTAAAAAGGTCAAATAAATAGAGGAAATAGTTCTAATATATAATAAGTAATAATCTGGTTTTGGTGTCTACAGATCCGGTTCTGGAGGAAAAAGTCGGTAGTTCCGCGTTAGTTGAGGATATAAAAACCAAATTCCGTTTAAAATGTGGCTGTCGGAGACCACTTAAACAACAGACGTACCTTGGGAGTCGGTATTTTGTCAAATTTAGGGTTTTTTCTCTGCATTTTGTATGCATATATATGTGTGTGTGTTTGATGAAAGCAAAGACTGACGGTGTTGCCTCGTGCTCTGCACAAGAATCCACCAACAACAAAGTTGTCACAACAAGTATGTACTTTTATAGTCCGGAATCGGATGACTTAATATTAATCACTGCCAGTTTCCGAACTTTGTACTTTTATTCGTGCTTGCGTGGCCACGTAAATAAGAACGTATTTTGATGCGGAAATTAGGAGAAAAACTTTAGAAGCATTCGTCACAGTAGTGTTCTTATGAAAACCTGGCAAGTGTCTACACCTATCTGTGCTGACAGCGAGCAGAGTGACTTTTGCTTCAGAGAAAAAAACAAACCCGTGAGGCCGGAACGACCATTAGGACTCAACTTCTATCGCCTGTTAGTTACCATCTGTGAAATGTTAACCAAACTTCTGAAACGTGTTTCCGATTAGAAAAGAGTATTTTAATAAGATTACAATAGGGATTCTTGTGCGACATAATCCCATGGTATTTAAGACAAACCAGGATGCAGGCTTTTGACTGAGCTCCTCTATGGCTACCTGGAAAAAAAATACCCAATAAAAATTACTGTTTAAGTAACATGCAATTTTTCTATCGATTTTGCATTCTATAAACTTATCATCGAAAAATAACCGACTGTCTCGAAAAGTCACTTTCTGCCTGAAAATAAGCTAGTGAACGCATAAGCGAAGTGTACAGTTGCTGGCGACTCAACTGCAAACTTCTAAACCACTGTCGTATCAGTTTGTCTTTGTTTCGGTTGTTTTTATGACAACGGAAGATGTGATGCCAACGCTGGAATGCTCTATCCTCAGGGGCTTTGACCAGGCTAGGACAGAGCTAACCTGCCCAGCTAATATGTCGGTGTCAAAACCCAGCGAACTGCTGTTTGGAACAGACTTATAGGATATCTAAGGCTAAAGTATAGGATAGATGCTCCTCTAGGGATGACTAGAGCTGCTCTTCACGCCCGCCCATGTCGGCTGAGATGTCGCTCGACTTCCGGTGTCGGCAACTATCTGCAGGACATCGATCGGCTGGCGATATGACTGGCGGCCGTCCGCAGCGAGAGAACGAAGATGCTGGATTCTGATTGGTCTCCATGTTATTTCATGTAACATGCTCTTTGCCTTCCCGACACAATTGTGCAATTTTCAGGAAGGGAGTCGGTAAGCCCTGTGAATATTTTGAAAATATGCTGCCCGCTTTCGGCATTCAGATAAGGGAAATAGCAGGCCCCAAGTTTGTTTCCTGTAAGGGAGACGGTAATCTACAAGTCGTCGATGTATTTTCGTCTAAACAATCAATTATGACAGTGTTAACTTAAAGCAGTCCAGTACTCTATGAACGCAGGTGTTGTCAACTAAAATACTTGCTGTTCTCAGTAAAAGTGCATGGGGAAGTGCTAAATGTTTTCTTGATTCTTCTAGAATCTCCGTGTCAAACTAGGAAAGAAATGGGGTAAGATAAATTTCATTGTATATATGGTTCTGCTAAGTATTCTTTGATTTTTTGACTACCATTGCAGAGTATTCGAAATAAATTAACTTAAATACTTGACGATTAATGCGTGTGATGCAGTGGCGAGAACTTAAAACGATATTTTTCAAAAAAAACTGTACTAGCGCGCCTTTTACACACCTCTGTGATGCTTCACTAAGAGCAACAGCTTGGAAGGTAGCCGGCTGTTTCTCATACCTAGGCTTGGTTCACAATGGCTTCTTTAACCTATCAAGGTTTTGAGGTCCAAGCCCATGACGCGTTTTTCAGGTTGTTCGGTAAAATCGAAAGTGCGTGTCCCGAGTAGCAGTTGAGGAGGAGTATATGTAGTTACTGGCACCGGACGTTTCGGATTCATGCTCGAACTGGTCTGGGTGTGACTAGCCGAACTCGCAGTTGTAAAGCGGAGAAATAGCGCTAACTTTCAAGTAGCGGCTCGT